TATTTGTCGAAGTGAATTAAAAATTTTTGACCACGTTGCAACTAATTAAATACATTTTCGTTACAGCTGATTGATAATATGTACTTTTATTTGAATTTATTTCATGACTTGTCATTTTGTAAACTAATAATTCACAGCTATCCAAGGAATTGCATGATTTGCATGTTTAGTAGTTAGTTATATTATTGAATTTTATATTGTGTGATTTGCAACGAGTGCACTATGCCCACCCTTAATTAAACCGTCTCAGTAGTTTACCGTAATTAATAATCTATTTTCGGAATTTATACGAGAATTTTTGAATTTTAGTAAATACTAGAGTCAGTGCATCGCGTATTGAAATAATAGCTTCATCCCTAGTTCGTTTATTATTGAATATTTTTACGCGTTTAACTTATGCTTCTCCCCAATTTTCGTCGCGTATTTTATTCAAATTTTCTTATATTCTAGAATCGAAAAAGATACGAATTCGCGTTTTTTCTTTTGATTCTTTCAATTTTTCACTCGCGTTCTACGAAAGTTTAGTTCAATAATAATATTGAAAATAATATAAATTCGCGGTTTCTCCCTTTCTGAATAAAAGTGAAAAAAATCGCGTTTCAAAGTACTTTTCGCGTCGTCCATTCCACAGTGACTCACACTTTGCGAGTTTGTGAGCCTTGCAAAATCGATCGGAACTGGAAGGAAGAAGAAAATGCAGTCAAATCCACGTTGCAGTGCTCAGCTGTTTAATCAGCGAACAGTGAGTTACAAAAATGTGTTTTTTTCTGGTGATTTGGTTTAGTAGTTAGTTGTATTGTGTATTGCCAGCTCAAATATGAGTCCAGTCCAAATTAAACCGTCTCAGTAGTGTTTCGCAATTAAAAATCGGTTTTCAGAATATATACGAGAATTTTGACCGCCTGACAGCAACCTGTAAATCTAGCGTGACAGTGAACGTGTTAATAAGTAAATGTTGTTCAAATTATGTCGTGTTTTATGTCATTTTCATCAGAAAAATCTCAGCAATATGTTAAGAAAAATTTCGGGATAAAAAAACGTAAAATTAAAAAAGTTGATATTTAAATCGCTTGGTTGCTTCGACTCTTGTTTTATCCTATCTTTTATTCGCTTTTCTTGTCTTCGTTCGGCAAACTACAAAGGCGGGCTCGAAGCTCGAAAACGTAGTCCTGACTCTTTAATTGTCATGTTTATGTTCCTTGCTGGCTGCCAATTGTAGAGACATTACTGTATTGATCATTTACGATAATGCAACTATGTTAACCTGTTGTACCGCTATGTTAAAAAGAAATTATTGTCAAATTTTTTAAAAGTTTAAGAATATAAGGGAATTTAGCAATCCGAAAAGGTGTCGATCCGAAATTGGTAGATCGTACGACAATGCGACAGTGTCCATATACGGTCCGCTGTCGAATACTATTTGCGATCAGAGTGGTCAGTTTTCAAGATGCTTTTCTCGAAGTCAGAGTTGCGTTTTGTTAGTGTTAGTGTAGTGTAAGACAAATAGTTACTTATTTGAAATATATATTATTAAAAACTATACGGAAAAGGAATCGTCATACAGTAGACAGGATAACCAACCAATTACCAACTTTACTATCAGCTACGAGAAAATGACAATTTATTTTATCAGTATACTACAAAGACAGTTAATTTAACAAAAGTTTCAAGAAATAAAAGTCCTCAAAAATAGCAGAGATAGGCGTCCGTGTCAAAAAGTCGAATCCTAATCCCGGTTAGTCTTTTGTCGCAAGACTTCATGCGTGCGATGCGACAAAAAACAAATTCGTTTGAACGAATTCAAAATATAATGCGACCGACAAAATCGTCGTTGTCGCATCGCACGTGTTGCCAATTTAAAGTTTTTTTCTTATCGTGTTGATCGGTTGATCGGACGACAACGATTTTGTCGCTTTACGACATCTAGTTAGGACAACCTAATGATGTGGAAATTCTATCGTATGGATGGAACGTTGATCTCATCTTATCTTACCTTATGCTTGTCAAGTTACTGACATAAATAAACAAAGTTTATTTCTATTTGCCAATGTTAAATTAAAGAAAAGTTTTCACCATTCATATTGACATTTGTAACATTTGGTAACTTGAAAAGCGTAAGGGAAAATAAAAAGTTCAATCTTTATTTACAGCCTGCGGCCTAATAGCCGTCAACTAGCGATTCAGGCTTACTTAACTCCTTCGGAACTCAAGAATTTATAACATTTTACAACAATAAATTACTTCACATGGCAGCTCGTTGAATTCCTCTCAACAAGCGCCATTGTACTATGGAAAAAAAATATATGTCTCTATTTAAAAAAATGAACTTGACTAAAATTTTCCCCCACCACTTGACCTGTGACAATATATGTCACATAAAACATTTTTTGAAAGAAATGAATAAATAACGAGTTATTTTAGGTAACAGTTCTTATTGACACACCGTGTATAATGAATACTAAAAATTAGAGGAACAAAACTAATGAATAAAAAATGATTAAAATACATATTAAAACTATAATTAAAACGGACTATGACAAAAACTACGATTCACAGAAATGTTTAATATTCTTATAAAATATTAAGACAACAAATATTAATTGTAACACTTATGTTTCTATCTTATTTTAACCAAAAATTTCTTATTTATAACATGTACACGCTATTCACATGTATTTAGCTACTGAATGATGTATATCACATAGCCGATAAGTAAATGTTAAGAATTTCATTCGATACGAAACGAAATCCACACGAACTTATAGACCAACCTAATATTTTGAATATATTTATCTGTAAAATATACGCACATTTATAAATATATTATATGATT